AACACACACGACTCAAACACACCGAAAAAAAAGTTTCCCTTGATTTCTGACACAATAGTCTGACCACAGTAGACACACTTTATTTAGCTAGTATTTCTCTATCTATATATCTACTATCTATTTATAAATAGGCACTCGCCACCATGTTGAGACGTTACGAGATTTTGGCGGTAGCTCCGCCGGTACCTGGTGGGGCGGTTCGTTAAAGGAGAAGGACATTCCCTTTATGGGACACGCAGGTTGGACTGGCCTTGTCAACAGACGTCTTGACGAATTCATCAATGCTACGACCTGCAGCAGTAGCTTGGGAAAACATCTCAATTATATTCCGAAAAACTTGCCGCCATGGATTCATGGAGTGTTATAGATCAGCTGATGTCCGAAATAGTTTAGCCATGGCTGTCTCCATCTCTTTTGGGCCTGAGCACCAATTGAAGCACCATTAGAAATGTTCCCTGTTGTAAGGGGTGGAGGTGCATAGGTGCATGAGAGCTTACATGCAGACCAGGCTTGGTGTTTGGAGCGCAGCACAAACAAAAAGAAAGGGCAAATTCTGGTTAGCATGGTGTATGTTATGTGCGTTATAATCGGTGAGACGAAATGAACTCCTAAGTACATAAATGTAAAGTAGCACATATAATAAAACCTAAAGAATTGAAGGCAGGCAACAGTTGGCCTTTAAGATTAAAATTGCGAATGCAGACGTGATCGTAAAAAATTTTTCAAAATGAAATTATTAGGATGGTATTATTTTACATTGGATTACATAAAAAAAGCAGAGAAATGACAGAATCAAGGCTTGAATGGGTGCAGGCTGACATGTTGCTTCATTGAAGAGGTGGAGCTAGATGAGAGTGGGCGGGGCAGTGATGAGAAGGGGCGGGTCCAGCTGGATGCACCGGTCGCAAGTGAAAACCAGGCAACTAGGAGCAGCTGCAGTGTCTCATCTAGTGTTGACTGAGCATGGACAGTCTTCAAGGCAAATGTCTTTAGAAAAAGGACTGCACCAGGAAGTAACTATGTTTCTGTTCACTCAAGACTTCCTCTCCATTTTTTTTTTTTTAATCATCTGAAAACAACAACAACAACATGGAATAATTATCCTTAAGAGAATGCCTCATTTAGCATTAATATTACACCATGTCTATGTTTTGGAAAGAAGTCTCTAATTCTCAACAAGGCTGCACAAAAATACATTAAAAACAGCAATATTGTGTTTTGGGCTTTTCAAAAGGTGAGTGACTTTTGGACAGTAATATTTAAAACACTAAAAGATGCCTTTAATTTAGAAATAAATCCCAGTGTTGAAGTTGCTATTTTTGGTGTACCATAACACAAAGTATCATTGACAAACAAGGTGTTTGATAACAAAGATAACAAAAAAATTTTATCGCTTTTGCCACTTTATTAGTGAGGAGAAGAATATTACTCGAGTGGAAATCAGCAATCCCACCTAAAGCTTCAGTGTGGATGTGTGACCTGGTTTTATATTTGAAATGAGAAAAAGTTAAATATTTAATGAAGGGATCTGTCCAAAAATTGATGTGGCAACCTATGATCACATATTTTGAAAAGATGAAGACCCCCCCCCCCCTTAACTGATCATTATAAAGAGATTTGTGGAAACTGGTTTAAACATGATCACCATGTTGCTTGGTTTTATATTTATGTAAAGACCACTATGAATATGTCAGAGAATTGAATTGTATTATTGTTTAGGTATTTATTTATTTTTATTATTCCTACAATGATATTGTTTATTTGTAAATGTGTACAATATTGTAATGTTTATCTTGTATTTTTAATATGTATCTATTTTTTTAATTAGTCTTCAATTGTCTATTTTAAAATAAAAGTATTTTATTTTATTTTGTCTGTTTAATTATTTTGGCGGTAAGGGTCATCATGGGGGAAAAGTTATAACCTTAATTGTAAGTTTTCTGTTATAAGGTTTGCTTGGAAAATGTTTATATATATATATATTGCTAAATATTATTATTATTAAATATCATTATATATAATATTATTAAAACTATTAATTTATTTAAAAACTACTAATTTATTTTTGTGAAGCAAAGCTGAATTTTCAGCATCGTTACTTCAGTCTTCATTGTCAAATGATTGCTGTTCAAGAAACATTTATTATTATTATTATCAATGTTGAACAGTTGTGCTGATTGATATTTTTGCTGAAACATTGATACATTTTTTCAGGATTCTTTAATGAATAGAATGTTCTAAAGAACAGCATTTATTTAAAAATAAAAATCTTTTGTAACATTATACACGTCTTTACTGTCACTTGAATAAAAGTACTAATTTCTTTAAAAAATGAATGTCACTTTCTATCAATAGAATGTGCCCTTGCTGAATATTAATTTCTTTATATTATAGTAATATATTCATTATATTTATATCAATTCATATTAATCTTAAGGTTATTGACCACAATGGTACTGTATGATATGAAAACTGTAAATTAAAAAATAAAGTAAATAAAGTGTTAGTACTTCTGTTGATAGTATTTACCTGCTCAGGTGGTCATCTCCAGCTTGGCCCTCCCACTCAAACTAATGCTCCGCCTCTTTCCTTAATGCATGGAAAAAAATGTGGCCCCATCCAAAAGAATGAATCTGATTGTAGGTAAAGACTGGCCAAGTGAACAATGTAGAATTTCATCTGTATGGCATGGCTGTGCTCCTCCTTTAGTGACTGAATTGTCTGCAAACATAACAAAGAAAAATTGTTTGGCAAAGTGCTTTTATTCACAAAATCTCATTTTAAACCAGACAACTGACATCAGACATCAAGATCTCACCCCACAAAACAACATCATAGCTTTGGTTTGGAAATAGTTATGCCCAAATTCCTTCTTCATCATCCTTTGGGCCCAAAATATATCCAGATATCCAGAGGTCAGCATGAAATTAGGAGAATTCGATGAGTTAAAGGTGAAAGAGCAGGTTGTTTAGATTAGGAAATTTAGAGATTGCATTACAGTGAGAGACAGGTAGATTATACAGAGGTCAATCACCTGCTGAAAACACCAGCCATATATTGTGATTTGATTTCAATCAATGTTGTTATCTTTAACCAAAACTAAAACTATTTAAAATAAAATAAAATTGAAACAACAGATGAAAAACTTAAAGAAACAACTAAAAAAAAATTTGAAATGTTAAGAGGCAACTAACTGAAATACATATGCTTACAGCATGCTGAACTACTAAAATTACTAAAAAATGAAATTTATTTTACTAAAAATGACAAAAATCTAAAAAAGACAAAATCCCATCACAAAATTATTTGTTGATGCTTTCTGAATTTTGCCTTTTGAATTTTTATTTTAGTGATATATATATATATATATATATATATATATCAGCTTTTTCAGTTTTCAATGACAAAAAGAAGTATTGAAAATGTATTTAACTTACAAAACAAAACAGGCACTATTTATGGAATCAGCATCCTAAAATTAGTAAGAAGCAAGTATTGGATTTCATGTGATGCAGATTAGATAAGAAATATTGCAAAGGTTAAGGAAACATATGATGAACAACAGGAAGTAGGAAAAACAAATATACACCAATTTAGATGAATTAATTAAATTAGAAGGTGCAGACACAAAATTTGTAGTATAGTGAAGATACCATACAAACCTGGTCTGGAGCAGGTCGGTGTCCGGGATGCGGCGATCCACGGCCTGGACCCCGATGGTGTGGTGGAGGGTGTCGAGGGTGTGGGCCCTGTGGGCCGGGGTGCGGGGGGTGATGGGGGTGCTGCTGCGGGTGTGGCATGGGCTGATGGTGGGGGCCCTGCTGAGGCGGAGGGCCGTGGGGGTGCTGCTGCGGATGGACCCCGGGATGAGGGTGTTGAGGGTGGGGTGGCTGGGGTCTAGGTGGGTGCTGGTGTGGGCCGGGCGGTTGCGGGTGCTGGGGGTGTTGTGGGTGTTGTGGGTGGGGGTATTGAGGCTGGGGCGGCTGCTGCGGGTGTTGAGGGTGGT